AACATATTTGTTGGCAGATAAGTGCTCCTGAAAACGTATAGCTAGCAGTGGCGGCTGGCCGATAGAGGGCGCTAGGGCGCCGCCCCCTTAAATAAAATTATTTTTTTTTAAAAATAAAAAAATAAAAATAATAATAATAATAATAAAAACATCAGTATGTCAATATTTGTGTGTTTGAAATATGGAATGCACACAGTAATATGTGTAAGATATGATAGAAAATCATATTCGCAACCTTTCCTCTGCCTGTCAAACGCCTCGTCAGCTCTGGGCGATACAGAAAGTGCCCCGAGGAGGCGGGTCTACGTAGCAGTTAAGCCAATTGCTAATTTAAGATATGAATGTATGACATAAAATGTAGCTAATCAGCGATTTTAATTCGAATCCAAGGAGGGCGATTATTTTATCGCCCCAAGCTCGCCCCTGATAAAATAAGGACCGGGCTCCAGTGGCGCCATTTTTACTAGACGACAATGGCGAACGCAAACGTTACTCCTCCAAGACCCAACCCTAACTCGGTGAAATCTCTCCTCCAAGATCCGTTTGAGAGGAGAACTTTGTCAGAGAAAGTTCGGGTGAAAGAGCTGGGCCCAGATCAACCTGACCTCTCAATCAGACAGCAGGCTAGCGAGAAAGGGAAGCAGTATATGCGCAGCTTCTCCCGTAGCTGGTACACCAGGAAGGCTTGGCTAGCTGGGTGCACTGATGCTAATGCTTTATTTTGCTTTCCGTGCTTGCTTTTTAAAACGACGGGGTCAGATTCAGCATGGACAGGTACCGGAGTGAGGGATATGAAGCACCTTTCAGAGAAGGTAAAGAAACATGAGAACACCAGGGCACACATGGACAACTCTGTAAAGCTAGCTGTATTAGGAAGGGTGAACATTGCTACGCAGCTGGATGACGGCCACAGGATTGCGGTGAGGAAACACAATGAGGAGGTGGATAAAAACAGGCACATTCTATCCAAAATTATCGATTGTGTGAAGTTCTGTGGGGCTTTTGAGTTGGCCTTGCGTGGGCACGAGGAGACTGACTCCTCGGACAACCCCGGCATTTTCCGGGGCTTAGTGGATTTTGTTGCCTCCCTCGACAGTGTGCTGGAGGAGCACCTGAAGACAGCTACCGTTACACAACACTGTGTACGAGTACAGGGATGACCTCCTAACGTGTTTCCAGACCATCAGAGACTCTGGGAACTTTGATGCCCCGACTGTCAGAGAGGCGGGGGGCTTTGTGAGGATGCTCGAAGACGAGGCTTTCTGTTTTTTCCTGGCACTGTTCCACAAGATCATGCCAAATGTGGACATGCTTTTCAGCCAGCTGCAGAAGAGGAACATCGACCCTGTCTTCATTAAAGCACTTGTCCAGAGGTTCACAGAAAGCATGCTAACAATCAGGTAAATAACTATATTTACTATTGGCTGATAAAGATGCTGTTAGAAAGATGAATAGTTCACTTACAACAGTTTAAAAGCCTAAATGTGTCTGGTCATCAAAGTGAGTGATTATCATAGAGCCGTCACAATTATATTTGTTTTAGTATTTTAAAAAGGAAAGAGAAGACATTTACATTACATTTTAGTCATTTAGCAGACGCTCTTATCCAGAGCGACTTACAGTTAAGAGTGCATACATTTTTTCATACTGGCCCCCGTGGGAAACGAACCCACAACCCTGGCGTTGCAAGCGCCATGCTCTACCAACTGAGCTACACGGGACCACATTAGTTTTGGCAAGATCTGAAAAAAGAAGTTGGTGGAGTGCAACCCTCAAACATTGAAGAATTACAGCAGTTTGCTGCTGAAGAATGGGCCAAATTGCCAGCAGAAAAGGTGCAGCAAGCTCATTGATGTCTACAATAAGCATATGTTGGCAGCTATCTTGGCCAAAAGCTGTGCAACCAAGTACTAGCTCCAGGGTGCCAATAATTTAGTCCATGACATTTGTCTATATTTTCTAAATTACAATTGTAAACTTAAGTTTACAGAAATATAATTAAAGGTGTGGAGACCCATTTTTTCCTCTCAAATTTCAACTGATTTTAGAAGAAATAGGGAATTATTTAAGAAAAGCCCAAGGGTGCCAATATATTTGGACACAACTGTATGCCTTCAGTCTAATTGGAATGTATGGCAGTAGAGTTGTTTGTATTTCTCCCTAACCAAAATGGCTGCCATTAGGATACCATTCAGGATTTTTTTTCACCTGTGTTACCACGACAATCACGCCAAATGAGCATTGCATTTGTGTGCTCCTTCAGTGTGAATGCGCAAATTTGATATGGGTCACATGTAAAACTGATACATAATTGATACAGATTTACGGTATGTTGCCTATATATTACTATATACCGGTATTGATGCACAGACCAGTTTGGGTTTTTACTTTACCTTCTATAACGGTATTTCAATGTTTGGTTTGTTAAATGTGGTAATGCCACTCCGCCATGTGTAACGTCCGTTTTTCTAGTTTACTCCGCAATTTGGGTCGTCTCTCTCCCTCTCTCACCAAGTACCACCCCGTCACTCAAGGAGCGCAGTTGTTGTTACTCGACCACGAGAACAAGTGTTTGTCCAAAAAGACACAATCAGACGTTGATAATAATGCAGGAAAGTACTACACAGTTTGTAATAATTATTCAGGTGTCCACCAGGTCAATTTCTAGAAGAGGCCTAGTTGTTATTGAAGATTAACTTTATTGCTAAGTGCACAGCAGAACAAAATTATGTTGCATCCCTCTCACAAATGTAATAGAAAAAGGCTTTAAAACGTAATAACATCAGTTAATTATGTACATCACAGGTTAAAAGCAGTTACTAGACATAGTTTGTGTGTATATACACACTATCTGTCTGTCTGTATATATATATATATATATATATATATATATATATATATATATATATATATATATATATATATATATATATATATAAAAGTCACTGGTTGTGTGTTGAGGGGGAATTACAGTGAGCTAAGAAGTCTGATTGCAAGTTATCAAATTAAACTTTATTTTTTGGACCCAGGGCCTCAATTCCCTCTTTGTGTGGGGACAGCGCATCTGACGAGCAGCAACAGCCCATCAAGCGACGGAGGATGCTGGGACCAGGAGAACAACAGAGGTTGGCTATAGAGGTAAGTTGTGATGTAATTGTCAGTGTTTCCCCATATAACTTTTTTCAGGCCTGGTAGTATGTAGCCAAAACCCTGAACAATCAGCACCTTGGTAATCATATACTTGAGTTGGACATAGGCATGTGTCAGTCAGGATCACTTGCATCAAAATAGCTTAATTGCAAATTAAAGCTGATGATGTATCTTTTACAGGTATGTGATACCATCCTGAGTCATGCCAAAGAGAGGTTCTCCTTCACCCAGCACCTCATCAGCGCAACACTATTGCACGGAGAGTTGTTCCCACAACACAGTGTGAAGTTCCCCGATACAGCGCTTGAAACAACCGTGGAGGCGTACCCCATGTTGAACAAGGCCAAGCTCAAAACCGAACTGTCCCTCATCTATGAGAACAGTGAGTTCAAGGCTTGTAGTGGTGCAGTGCCCCTGTACCAGTTCTTCATGGAGAACAACCTTCAGAGCACTTTCACAGAGACTGCCAGCCTCCTCAAGATCCTCATCACCACACCCATGACAACTGCTGAGTCAGAAAGGTGCTTCTCTACACTGAAAAGGATCAAGACCTTCCTGAGAAACAGCATGACACAGGATCGCCTGAACGCTCTGGCCATGCTCTCCATGGAGAAGAAACTTGTCAGGGACATTCCTGACTTTAATCAAAGGGTCATTGAGAGGTTTGCCACTCAGAAGGACAGACGGGCAAAATTCCTGTACAAATAAGATGACAGACACACACACACAGAGCAGCTCTGGCCGCATGTTTCTTTGTATATAGTTGACCTTAGCATAAAAAATCCAGTTATATATGGTACTCTAGAAAGTCTTAATAGTGTCTTTGCTAATATTACTGTATATATGTTGTTTTGTATCAATTCATTGTTGCAGTTCTGGAGCACATTAACAATTAGTCACATTTAGTATGATCATAAAATACTGTATGCTATTCTTCCAGTCAAAGGTTTGAGTTCATCCACTTGATATCCATTTCTATATTATACATCCTTTTATACAGTGTAAGATTTCCTATAAACTTTATATTAATTTCATGTTATTGTCCACTTTCCACTCTGTTCTGACAGCATGCCTGTTGCGTTGCCTGTTTACTACCAATGGTAAAAAGTTCACTTTAAATGCAAATGAAAGGCTTGGGTTTGTGTAATATGTTTTTGTGTAAGAATGCCTCAACTTTTTAATATTGGCATTAAATAATTACTGAATGTTTCACTGAGCACTGCTGTCCTGCAGTTTGTGTTAAAATATATCGCGATGGTTACAGGAAAAAAAAAGTATGGCACAGCCCCACCGAGAATATTTTTCACCAGCCGCCACTGATAGCTAGTCATGAATATCAAACGAGATGACGAATTAATCAAATGCGATGGTAGTAGGAGCAAAAACTAGTATCATCTTGCTATGAAACATCTGGCCAAACACATATGGAGCTATTTAGCAGCAGTAATCCACGGATTTAATGTATTTTTAGTTCAAATAGATTAAGGTTTTGATGAAGGTTAGCTACCATTTTATCAACATCCAGTAATGATACCGTTATGTGTGGTGCTGATGATAGTACAGTAACGTTACTGATAACGAGAGCTATTATAGTTCCTTCTAGCTAGCGCAAGCGAGACCTATCCGGGGACACTGCTCGCCATCTCGCCGATGTAGAGACAGGAAAGACCGGTGTTTCACATCTGGCCTCGCAAAGCTAGAAAACTAGCATAGCGGATGGAGAGAACAGCTACCGAAACGTATGCTCGCCTTTTGCTTTTCATTCCAATGTTACCAATGAAATTACAGGTTACCTTGCTTCGTATCTGACCCGATGTGGAAACTTTGCGTATCAATTTCTGCGGAGATCCATGTTCCTGCTCTGGTTCACTATCCGAAGATTCATCCAGGCATCTTGCCGTGGCCTCGACTCCGACTGCCACCGCCATATCATTCGCCCCCAGGGAATGATATACACAATGAGTGGAAGGGCAAGAGGAATTAGCATCCCCTTGTGGTCAAGACAGGACAACGCAGCACCAATGTGGACTCTGGGGGCCTTTTCTCAACTCTCGCATTCTTTTGGAAAAAGGTCAAAGGTAATCGAGGAGAGGCGGCGAGGAGAGGGAATGTGGACGAAAATGTGCCTGTATGAAGTTGGTGTCATTGAATCCCACATGAACTATGATATACTCAATTTCCTGATGCTGGTTTAAAATGTTTGGGAGCAGCTTATTGATGTCCTGTACTCAGCTCCTGGATACACAACATTTTTGCTCCTGTCAAATCAAATCAAATTGTATTTGTCACATGCACCGAATACAACAGGTGTAGACCTTACAGTGAAATGCTTACTTACAAGGCCTTAACCAACAGTGCAGTTTTAAGAAAAATAAGTGTGAAGAAAGTATTTACTAAATAAACTGAAATATCTTTTTGTTTACAAAAAAATTGAAGAAAATATAAAAATAATAAGAGAAATACAATCGTGGTAAAACATAGTTTGGAAAGCAAATGACTATTGTTGTAAAGAGAATACAATTAAAATACTCTAATCTGTCTTTTAGTTAGGCTATCAAAATTCTCAACTTAATTAAGTGAACTCTACGTTACACTCTGTGCTATACACTCTTAGAAAAAAGGTGCTATCTAGAACCAAAAAGGGGACAGCTGAAGAACATTTTACATTTTAGTCATTTAGCAGACGCTCTTGTCCAGAGCGACTTACAGTTAGTGAGTGCATACATTTTCATACTGGCCCCCCGTGGGAATCAAACTCACAACCCTGGCGTTGCAAGCGCCATGCTCTACCAACTGAGCTACACGGGACCAGGTAGAACCCTTTTGGATTCCATGTAGGGTTCGACATGGAACCCCAAATAGTTCTACCTGGAACCAAAAAGGGTTCTCCTATGGGGACAGCTGCAGAACCCTTTTGGAACCCTTTTTTCTAAGCGTGTACGCGCTCAGCCATGCATTGAACAATATTTTTTGCGAACAGTAATCAAGTTAAATTATGACTATCCAATTTACTCACCACATTATGAATAATAAGCGATCTTACATAAGTCTGCAAATGCGATGATGATGCATGAAATGCTTTATTATAAAGGTTAATTTTTATGGTGAACATTTTTAGATGTCTCAGATCCACTGGGCACAGCCGTCAGTTCAACGTCTAGTTTTGATTGACATTTGACGGAGTTGTCAACTGTGACGAGTACTGAGTATACGAAGAGGCAGGACACAGATGCAGGAATTAACAAGGTCAAGGTTAACTTAAACAATGACAAAGAGAAATAACAAGGATAGAGTACACGGCACGAAGCTAAACAATCACACACAACATCATAAGGAACAGTCCAGGACTAAATAGGGGAGGTGATTAGGGTGCGTTGGGTTTCCATTCCGGTGTTGCCGAGGTGGTGTGCTCAGACCGGTGGCTCAGTAGACCGACGAATCAGAGCGCCGGAGGGGAGCAACGGGAGGAGACGTGACATCAACTAACATGAATTCAAAGTGAAATCAACAAAACTTTGAACCATGTCATTGGATTTAGGTTGAAAGTTGGGTAAAGAAAGTCACAAAATTATTTTACATTGATGACGTTTTGCATATCCAATCACTTTTCCACATTGATTCAACGCCATCAGAAGGGGTAAGACTGAATTTTTGTTGTTGAAATGATGTGGAAACAACATTGATTCAATCAGTTGTGCCCAGTGGGATATGTACAACATTGATTCAATCAGTTTGTGCCCAGTGGGATATGTACAACATTGATTCAATCAGTTTGTGCCCAGTGGGATATGTACAACATTGATTCAATCAGTTTGTGCCCAGTGGGATAGGTACAACATTGATTCAATCAGTTTGTGCCCAGTGGGATATGTACAACATTGATTCAATCAGTTTGTGCCCAGTGGGATATGTACAACATTGATTCAATCAGTTTGTGCCCAGTGGGATATGTACAACATTGATTCAATCAGTTTGTCTCAGAGACTTTTGTTTACTCCTACTATCTTTCCACTGACCTGTACAGAGTATCTCTCCAGAGTATTATGGCTTACCAATACCAAACCAGGCAACTTTACTCAGTGTATACGTCAATGTTATTCTCAGAGGCAACCCGGAACACATCCCAGTCCGCGTGATCAAAACAATCTTGAAGCATGGATTCCCAATTGGTCAGACCAGAGTTGAATAGACCTTAGCACTTCCTGTTTGAGTTTCTGCCTGTAGGAAGGGAGGAGCAGAATGGAGTAGTGATCTGATCTACCGAAAGTAGAGCAGGGGAGGGCCTTGTAGCCATCCTAGAAGGGAAAGTAGCAATGGTGGAGAGGTTTTGAAGTGCAAGTACTACAGGTAATGTGTTGATAGAACTTCGGTAGCATTTTCCTCACATTTGCTTTGTTAAAGTCCCCAGCTACAATAAATGTGGCCTCAGAATGTGGTTTCCAGTTTGCAGAAGTCCATTGTAGTTCCTTGAGGGCCGTTGTGGTATCGGCTTGAGGGGGAATATACACAGCTGTTACTATAACCTAAAATAATTATCTTGGGAAGTAGTATGGTCTGCATTTGACTGTGAGGTATTCTAGGTCGGGTGAACAAAAGGACTTGAGTTCCTGTACGTTATCACAATCACAACATGAGTAGTTAATCATGAAACATACACTTCCGCCTTTCTTCTTCCCAGAGAGATCTTTATTCCTGTCTGCGCGATGTACTGAGAACCCAGCTGGCTGTATGGACAGAGACAGTATATCCGGAGAGATTTCCTTATATGAACTGTAACTCAGTAAAACCTTTGACATTTTTGCATGTTGCGTTTATATTTTTGTTCAGTGTAGTTCGATGATACTATGAAATGCTAAATGGATAGTCCACGCTCAAAACGAGTTCTAACATTATAAGAAGTTGCAAAACAACTTTTCAGCTACTGTATTGGACTCCCGTTGACTTCTAATGGTTCATGTTTCAGGTGACAAGGGTGACCATTGTCTTGATGGTCCAGCAGGAGAGATGGGGCCTAAGGGTGACGAGGGTCAGTGTCCAGCTACATGTGACTCTGCACAGGGACCCCCTGGTGAAGCTGGCCTGCCTGGACCTGCAGGAACCAGAGGGCTGCCCGGGGTAGGAGGGAAACTTGGGGCTAAGGGACCCAAGGGAGACGCTGGTGATATGGATGCGCCAGGCGCCCCTTCTCGCCAGGTACTGACGGCGAGAAGGGAGAGCAGGGGGTTGAGGGCGTGTGTAACTGCACAGATGAAGCCGATGGGCAGCAGGGACCCCAGGGAGAGAAGGGAGAGCAGGGTGAGGTGGGTCCTCAGGGAGAGCAGGGCATAGCCTGGGTGAAGGGAGACCAAGGAGAGATGGGTATGATGGGAATCCCAGGGCCTTGCTCCCCAACTATCTGCTCTGCTTTCTCTGCAGTGCTTAACACAAACTTCCCATCACCCAACATGCCCGTGCAGACTTCTCCCACATCCTCTACAACATGCAGGGCCACAATGACCTCATGACTGGCCTGTACACTGCCCCCGCTAACAGCACCTACATCTTCAGCTACCACCTGTCTGTCTTTGGGAGGGTGCTGAAGGTGGGGCTCTTCCACAACTTTGTGCTGGTGGTGAGAACCACTGAGCCAGCAGAGCTGGGCACCGCCTTGCACAGGCGACCACGTGTATATGATGGTGAAGGACACAATCACCAACGGGATGTACGCCAGCAATGAGACCAGCAGCACCTTCTCTGGCTACCTGCTCCACCCTGTTCATGGGCCGAGAGTTTGTAGTGCCAGTCGAGGGAGACTACACCTGGGGCAACATGGAGGGCCCTACCCCATAGATTACCATCCCTGCCTAACCCATATGAAAAAGTGCCAATAGTCTCATGAAAAGGCACCTAGCTGCTCGATCTACATATTTGTCTAACCTCTTACTGCCTTGGCCTCTCCAGCATAACATAAGCAGTTACTGTTGGAACTATATTTCAACTAAGCTCTCTGCTCCCCCTCAGTATTTTTGTTCTGCGCTTTGTGTTGTTCGTTGCTGTGTGTCGGCAGAATCAGCCATTCTGGAAAGTTTTGTTTTTATCAATGTGTGCAATTGAACAATTTCTAGAAACCCCCATGAAAAGAGAAACCACCTCCTTCAGAGGCCTCAATCACCCTCCTGGGAAATGTTTGTGTGCGTGGTAGTCTTATGCTAAAAATGTCATATTATATCAGTTTGCGTGTGGGTTTGTATGTGAGTGGATGTGTATTCTTCTTACAATTACTATTTTCCTTTGATTCTGAACATGTCAGTGTAAGCTGATCACAGCGGTCGCCGGGATACACCTTGTTACATCAGAGACCCAGTTCAAAGAGGCTCCCTCTCTGCCAAAGAACCACTGATGTAGCTATAGAAAGAGAAAGTACCATAGGTGTGTCTGTCTTTCAGTGCGGTGGAAGGATACGTGAGAAGGCACAGCCATGTAGCTACAGTAATGTGAGACAGAAAGGAAGAGGTCAGCTGTACTCAGCCTAAGTAGTAACTACAGTTGAAGTCGGAAGTTTCCATACACCTTAGCCAAACACATTTAAACTCTGTTTTTCACAATTCCTGACATTTAATCCTAGTACAAATTCCCTGTCTTAGCCCAGAATCATCATTTTATTTTAAGAATGTGAAATGTCAGAATAATAGTAGAGAGAATGATTTATTTCAGCTTTTTTTCTTTCATCACATTCCCAGTGGGTCAGAAGTTTACATACACTCAATTAGTATTTGGTAGCATTGCCTTTAAATTGTTTAACTTGGATCAAACGTTTCGGGTAGCCTTCCACAAGCTTCCCACAATAGGTTGGGTGAATTTTGGCCCATTCCTCCTGAAAGAGCTGGTGTAACTGAGTCAGGTTTGTAGGTCTCCTTGCACACACACGCTTTTTCAGTTCTGCCCACACATTTTCAATAGGATTGAGGTCAGGGCTTTGTGATGGCCACTCCAATACCTTGACTTTGTTGTCCTTAAGCCATTTTGCCACAACTTTGGAAGTATGCTTGGGGTCATTGTCCATTTGGAAGACCCATTTGCGACCAAGCTTTAACTTCCGGACTGATGTCTTGTGATGTTGCTTCAATATTAGGAAGGTGTTCCTAATGTTTGGTACACTCATTGTATTTCCTAACTTATTATAAAACAGGCTTTCTAAATGTGGCTTTTCATCTGTACTGAGCAGCGCCTTTGTAGACGACCCTAAGAACACAAACACTTAGAAAACAGTCCAACACCAAACCAGAGGTAAAATATCAGCTTGGCTGAACAAAATGTGTCTTCACACAACACTGAGTAGGGGTCTGAGGGCACACAGTGTGTTGTGAAACCTGTGAATGTATTGTAATGTTTTTTAAATTGTATGACTACCTTCATTTTGCTGGACCCCAGGAAGAGTAGCTGCTGCCTTGGCAGGAACTATTGGGCGTCCATAATAAATACAAATACACTGAAACATAACTATAAAGCATAGGCCTTGGGTCTGGATTTGTCTACCGGTATACTGAATGGCAATACCATGACATCTACAGTACCCTTATTTTATCTATGTATTTATTTGCCTTTATCTTACCAGGGAAGTCATTTAGAACACATCCCTTTTACAATAATGACCTGACTAATATGGAGCAATGAGTCGTGCAGCAAAACAGACAAGTGACGACGTTACATTAGCAGACAATTCTTAAAAGCTCTCTACAACATCTCGCCATTTGGTTATTCATGACCCTCAGCATTTCAAGCTGTGAAGTCCAGCTGATGTTATACATTAGGCCATGGCTGGACAGTGTGGCTGACCCACGCAAGAGCTCTGCCTCCTTGGACAGCCTGCTCATGCCTCGGTGGGTGACTCGTCATCATCAGGGATGATCCCTTTCAGGTAGACCCTCTTGAACTCCTCGAACACCATGTCATCGGACTCACTGCCACCGCAGCCATTGATTTGAAGAAATGGAGTAAGACAGGGGCACACACACACACACACAGAGTGAGAGAGAGAGAGAGAGAGAGAGAGAGAGAGAGAGAGAGAGAGAGAGAGAGAGAGAGAGAGAGAGAGAGAGAGAGAGACAGACAGGGACACAAGGAGACATAGACAAGACAACAGTATCAGTCCAAAGAGAAAGTCAGTCAGGTCTCTTTCTCTTGTATCTGTGATAACAGGTACAGTATCATATCCATCTCTGACAGTGTCAGATAACCTCACAGCTGCTACAGTTCATACCATGTGTTATCCACGTGAGGAAATAGGCAACTTTGATTGTAATTGGGGCCAAAATGTTTATGTAATCATTATGATGGGGCAGAAATATTCAGACCATGCACACACACAGCTACTGACACACACACACTACAGAGGGGTGGTTAGGCTCACTGCTGCAGGGTGAGTATGTGAGTATACACTTCATGACCAAAAGTATGTGGACACCTGCTCGTCAAACATCTCATTCCAAAATCATGGGCATTAATATGGAGTTGGTCCCCCCTTTGCTGCTACAACAGCCTCCACTCTTCTGGGAAGGCTTTCCACTAGATGTTGGAACATTGCTGCGGGGGCTTGCTTCCATTAAGCCACAAGAGCATTAGTGAGGTCGGGCACTGATGTTGGGTGATTAGGCCTGGCTCGCGGTCGGCGTTCCAATACATTTCAAAGGTGTTCAATGGGGTTGAGGTCAGGGCTCTGTGCAGGCCTGTCAAGTTCTTCCATACAGATCTCGACAAACCATTTCTGTATGGACCTCACTTTGTGCACGGGGGCATTGTCATGCTGAAACAGGAAAGGGCCTTCCCAAACTGTTGCCATCGTCTAGAATGTATGCTGTATGTACAGTGCATTCGGAAAGTATTCAGACCCCTTGACTACACACAATACCCCATAATGTCAAAGAGAAAAAATGTTTTTAGAAATGTTTGCAAATGTATTAGAAATAAAAAACAGAAATACCTTGTTTACATAAGTATTCAGACCCTTTGCTGTGAGACTCGAAATTGAGCTCAGGTGCTTCCTGTTTCCATTGATCATCCTTGATGTTTCTACAACTTGATTGGAATCCACCTGTGGCAAATTCAATTTATTGGACATGATTTGGAAAGGCACACACCTGCCTATATAAGGTCCCACAGTTGACAATGCATGTCAGAGCAAAAACCAAGCCATGAGGTCGAAGGAATTGTTCTGAGACAGAATTGTGTCGAGGTACAGATCTGGGGAAGGGTACAAAAACATTTCTGCAGCATTGAAGGTTCCCAAGAACACAGGGACCTCTATCATTCTTAAATGGAAGAAGTTTGGAACCACCGTCGGACTGCCAGATGGGGAAGCTTTACACCACTCTAGCCGACGCTTTGCATTGCGCATGGTGATCTTAGGCTAGTGTGCGGCTGCTCGGCCATGGAAACCCATTTCATGAAGCTCTCGACGAACAGTTCTTGTGCTGACGTTTCTTCCAGAAGCATTTTGGAACTTGGTAGTGAGTGTTGCAACCGAGGACAGATTTTTACGCGCCAAGTGCTTCTTGGCGATCCCTTTCTGTGAGCTTGTGTGGCCTACCACTTCGCAACTGAGCCGTTGTTGCTCCTAGACGTTTCCACTTCACAATAACAGCACTTACAGTTGATCAGGGCAGCTGTAGCAGGGCAGAAATTTGAACTGCCTTGTTGGAAAGGTGGCATCCTTTGACGGTGCCACGTTGAAACTCACTGAGCTCTTCCATTCTACTGCCAATGTTTGTCTATGGAGATTGCATGGCTGTGTGCTCGATTTTAAACACCTGTCTGCAACGAATGTGGCTGAAATAGAATCCACTCATTTGAAGGGGTGTCCACATACTTTGTATATGTAGTGTATGTGAATCTACCATTGCAAACCATTACTGACACGTCTCACCTCAGTCCTTACATAATCACCCTCTCTTGTACTGTATCTGTGTCAAAATCTAACATGCCCATAAATAGCGATGAGAATACAGTTTCGGAAAATTACAAATAGGACAAGGGAGGTTATAAAACTGGGCAGCGAAGCATTCAGTAACAGACACTATACTATTTTAATTCAGCCAAGTACTACTGGACTATGGGAACAGGGAGGACGCACAGTGAGAAGAAACAGAATGCTAAATAAAATGATCTAACACTGAATAATAGGTGCAGCAGGCAAAAGGAGGAATCACACCATAGAAATAGAATCTATAGAACGGACATCCACAGTCATGTCAACAATCCGTGATTGGTGGACTGGTGGCAATATTGAGTGTACCCATGCCAGGAAGTAAAATATGGACGTTCAGCATTACATTTTGTCTTTCTATTTCTATGGATCACACATGAAAAAACAGGGGTTGGCATGCAATGACATCACAACGAAACAACGGAAATAGAGCAGCTTACCCCTCCTTAACTGTATAATGTAAACAGATCCAGGTACGGGAAAGGGAATGGAAAGGAAGTGGTCATCATAAAAGGATAACATAAGAGAACGTCATCAGAAGAGATTGTGTCGTCTATATATAGGCCTAAATGTAATCTGGATGGAGGCGTATTAGGTATGTGCAGACATGACAAAGCTACCTCTAAGTTTGTCTACACAGCAGTGGGGTCACTGGGGTGGATTTAGCAATTAGAAGAATCAGCAATAAGACAAGCTGATTAAATACATTGGCCTCTGAACACAGCTTGTAACGGACTGCAAAATGTTCTAACAGCAGCTTGAGAGTGATAGAAAGGTGTACAGTAGACAGTTATTTAAAAGGCCTGTCCAGGGGAAAAACTCCCGGCCCTAGTCATTCATCAAGGGCTCAGAGAGGGAAAGCATGGAGGGTGATGAAGGGAGAGTGAAGTGTGGTGTAGGTGGAGAGCTTTGTGGAAGGACATAGTGGACATATTGGACATTGTGGACATAAAGAGGGAGGCTGGGGATTCAGAGGCCCTGAACTAACCTGGGTCAGGTTTAGGATGCATGAGCCGGAATGGAACCTCCACTGCAACCTCACTGGAACAAAAAAAATACATTCATAAAAGTGAAAATAGGTATGACAGACAAAATCACATTTTTATTTAGATGACTGAGTGACTGCACTATAAAAACAAAAACAACACGTAGTTGTTTCAACTCATTATTATTCAGTAACTGGTTCCACAATCTTTTTTTGTTTACTCAACTTTTCGGTCCAAGTTTTACCTGAAACTAAAAAGATTAACTGGCCAAATGTAGCTCCAACTTGAGAAAACTTTGACACAAATTCAGTCAATTTAAAATGATGTGTTTGTTCAACTTGTCTCATATGTTAATTAAATTATAAATTATTATTTGGGCATCTTAACTAAAGAAGGATTTGCAACTGGTTACACACAGTGCTTTTAACAAATGCTTTCAACTTACATATTTGACACAAGTTGACATACATGCATGTTCATTTATACAGTAATTATTATTCAAACATGTCCTCACCTGGGATTTGAACACACAACCTCTTGGTTCATGGTATTCCGATCTTCCTGCTATGCCACCATGTCTGTGTCAATTATCAGTTAATATGACTATTCTATCATCATTGATTTGATTTACTTATTTTATGTTTTTCTGTATAGTTCTCTAATGTTGCTGGGCAGTGGTGATTTCAGCATGTAAATCTTGGTGGGGCAAACTCAACCAATTTTTTTTTAGATGCATGCCAGCAAAGCCACTACACTACACAACACAACACTAAACAATACATTTATTGCACTATAAGGGTGACAAACGGTGCCCACAAACTGTTAGGGCCTACATAAAGCTGTCCCGACATCTGAGCTTTCCTTACCACTGCTACACCTGGCTATGAGCAGAGCCTCATCTGGCAGCGAAACAGTTAATTCAACCTCATTTACTGCCTTTTTAAAAACCATAGCTGATATGGCTGACTTGCTTAAATAAATATGGCTTCTACTGAATCCTTGTGGATTTCTGTAACTCGATAAGAACCGCATTCTCCTTCAATAATAACAAATCCCAACATTAGTTTTGACTTTTGAACCATACACAAACATTATTACATTTATGTTCAGTAAATTCATAATGTTTGCTCTTATATCATTAACAATTAGCTCTAAGTATAAGCAAGTGCAAGCAAACAATCTGCGAGGAGGTAGACCTATTCATTCAGCACTTTCGAAATGGACGCCAACAGAAATTCAGATAGATGTTAGTTCAGATAAATTCAGCAAGATGTTGAGGCCACCAGAGAGAGAGAGAGAGAGAGAGAGAGAGAGAGAGAGAGAGAGTGACACGGTTAGCCTACTATTTGAAGTATTTTATTAGGCCTATTTCGTCTAAAAAAGGAAGGAAAATATAATCACAAGCGCATTGCACAAACAAAACAACCTTCTCAATATCAACTGGAATTACGTGGGTCTATTACTGAACATTTTGTGGAAAGAAATATTTGAATGGGAAGAGACTGTCACTGGCAATGGTTACAGACCCAACAACATAATATAGTATCCCCTCCTCGTGGAGAAAAGCACATGAGCTAATTATAATACACAAAGTAAGCAAAACAATTAAATGAATCATTCCAACATTGCCTAAAATGATGAATAATATACTTATGAGATAGACCTATATAAGCAATATAACATAGTACAAACTATGGCATAACGGAACGATAAGCAGATAAGACGTAATTTTGATTAAGACAATAATAAGCGAGCTAAGACGGACATTGTCGATATGCCTATTTGTTCAGTACTTTTGAAATGGACACAACAGAATTCAGAACGTGGGCCGTTCTTACAGTATTCTCCCTGTACACCAAGTCAGAACCATAGGATAAATAACAGGGGCATATAAGCAAACAATGAAAGCTCTTACAATATTCAATGATGTAATTTCTCTAAAACAAATCACATTTTATTTGCCACATGCGTCGAATACAACAGGTGTAGACCTTACAGTGAAATGCTTACTTACAAGCCCTTAACCAACAATGCAGTTAAGAAAACATAGATAAGTTAAAATAATAATAATAATAATAATAATTAAAGAGCAGCAGTAAAATAAAATAACAGTAGGGAGGCTATATATTGCAAAAGTATTCATCCCCCTTGGCATTTTTCCTATTTTGTTGCATTACAACCTGTAATTTTAAATGGATTTTTATTTGGATTTCATGCAACGGACATACACAAAATAGTCAAAATTGGTGAAGTGGAATGAAATAAATAACTTGTTTAAAACATTTTGAAAAAATGAATAACGGGAAAGTGGTGCGTGCATATGTATTCACCCCCTTTGCTATGAAGCCCCTAAATAAGATCTGGTGCAACCAATTACCTTCAGAAGTCACATAATTAGTTAAATAAAGTCCACCTGTGTGCAATCTAAGTGTCACATGATCTGTCACATGATCTCAGTGTATATATACACCTGTTCTGAAAGGCCCCAGAGTCTGCAACACCATTAAGCAAGGGGCACCACCAAGCAAGCGGCACCATGAAGGCCAAGGAGCTCGCCAAACAGGTCAGGGACAAAGTTGTACAGATCAGGGTTGGGTTATAAAAAAATATAAGATTTACTATCAGGGCCCAGGTCTGACAGAAACTGTGCTCGGAAAAGAGACCCTTTATGACAGATGTTTTAAATCCTTAAACCCAGACTTGCACCACACATCCTTCCAAACCACTCATTTTCGATTTTGCGCTAAACCAGTAGATTATCGATGATGACTGCTTGTCTAGCTAGCTAGCTAAGATTTTGAAAGTATGATGTTGACATGATCAGTCCAATCAAAGCTATGGTTGATAAAACGTGATTTGACGTCATTTTATCTGTGGCTGACTACCTTGAGCCTTCTTGGACGGGCACTTCCACTGTAAATGTACGGCAGCACCCAAGGAGGCTTGAACTGCCTAGCTCTCCCTGTAGATTCTGCGGTGCCGTAATGTCCCCATGAGGGACAGAACTCTGAGCCAATCACGGAATAACTAGAGAAGATTGCCAATGCCTTCACGCTCTGTGCTTTCGCTGGCTGCCCCTCCTTCACAGAAAGTATTGAGCTAGGCTGAAACACCTGCACTTAGGTGCTGCCTTACTCAGAAAGAGACCATGTTTGTATGCAGCTTTATTAACTCAAGGATATTTGGGGGTTTTTCTCCATTGTTTGCAAACTGATATGTGGGCAGAGTAATATGCCCCACCTGCCCCGGGTCGCCACTGTTGCTGGGGCATATTACTCTGTTAATGTTACTCCTTAATCAAAATGATCAATCAAATAGTTTTTCTTGAGTGTACTATTAACAGTGCTGAGATTTACTTTGAAGTGCAAAGCGTAGCAATACAGGTGAAATCAGTTATGGACACAGACCTGGTAGTGCCGTTTATGGGGCTTCAGTCAGTGCCGTTTATGATGAGGGTGGACGATTTGTATTTTTTCATGAGCATGGCCTTATTTCTATTACTTGAAAAAGAATAGGAGAGCTGCACACTCTAGGAGCTTAGATGCAATCATTTATACCCTGATGAAGACCGCTTGTCTGTCGACACGTTGGTTATTAGGTTATTAAATTATTGCATCTGAGCTCCTAGAGTGTGCAGCTCTCCTTTTCTTTCTCAAGTGTTCTACTCCGTTAGCCAGCACCTGCTTAAATAGGTGTGCATTTATTTCGCCTCCTTATTTCTTTTACAGCATCTTGGATGACTCATTCATATTCCATTCACCCAGTTCAATGTAACATCGATAGGTTTAGGCTACTACATGATACTCTAATTTTCCCTATACCCATCATGAGGTTGATACAACCTAGCCTATGAATGAACGTTTACAACGTAGGTGCACACAGGTTGAGAGAAACATTTGAAGTGACACAGTGACAGACAGTGACACATTCAAAACCGCCTTGCACACTCTTACATTTACATTTTAGTCATTTAGCAGACGCTCTTATCCAGAGCGACTTACAGGAGCAATTAGGGTTAAGTGCCTTGCTCAAGGGCACATCGACATATTTTTCACCTAGTCAGCTCAGGGATTTGAACCACTTAACCACTAAGCTACCTGCCACTTTTGCCTGCATCTAGCTTATCTAGGGTGTAATCATTAGTCCAACAGTTGCAAATTGAGGTATGTTTATCCCCGTTTCGTTTACTTCCGTTTAAGAAACGTTTTTCTACAGAATCGATGGAATGAATACACCCCTGATCACGTGTAAACACAGTTCACTTTTATAGCCACATTGTATTCCTTCTCGCATCTATGCGTTCTCCTCCTCTCACCTTCTCTCTTCGTTTGGACTTCAATGCACAACACATCAGCTGCATGTGAACAGGCGAAAAAACCTTTCCAAGCCAAACCACGGCCTACATCGTTGTCCCCATATTAGCTAAAGTAACGTCCTAGTCAACATAGCTAATAGAACTAATGCGTTAGTAAACCCGCTACAATCATGCAGTAACATTACAGTGTATAGTATCCAGGCTCTGTCGTAGCCGGCCGCGACCGGGAGACCCATGGGGCGGCGCACAATTGGCCCAGCATTGTCCAGGGTAGTGGAGGGAATGACCGGCAGGGATGTAGCTCAGTTGGTAGAGCATGGCGTTTGCAACGCCAGGGTTGTGGGTTCGATTCCCACAGGGGGCCAGTATGAAAAATATAAATAATGTATGCACTCACTAACTGTAAGTCGCTCTGGATAAGAGCGTCTGCTAAATGACTAAAATGTAAATGTATAGTCAGTAAGCAGTTTAGCAGCTACACCAGCTGGCCCCGGTGGCAATAAAAAACGTACCTTGACTTGGAAGAGTTCCAGTGTCATTTTGGATAGTCATAGCCAGCTGGCTAACATAGCATCCCTCTGTTTGAGCCGGGTGATTGAGTAGGCTAAACTAGCCATCTGTATTTGCTAGCTAAGTAAGTGAAACTGAAAAATAAATGACAATCTCTCTCTTGCTTCTCATTCATTTTTGAAGAAATTAATTTGTTAAACTGTTCAACTATTGTTTATCTCTCTTTCAGTCAACTACTCACCACATTTTATGCACTGCAGTGCTAGCTAGCTGTAGCTTATACCTTCATTACTAGATTCATTCTCTGATCCTTTGATAGGGGGGACAACATGTCAGTTCATGCTGCAAGAGCTCTGATACGTTGGAGGACGTCCTCCGGAAGTTGTCATAATTACTGTGTAAGTCTATGGAAGGGGGTGAGAACCAAGTGCCTCCTAGGTTTTGTATTGAAGTCAATGTATTCCGAGGAGGACTGAAGCTAGCTGTCCTCCGGCCCTGTGTAGCTCAGTTGGTAGAGCATGGTGCTTGCAACGCCAGGGTTGTGGGTTCGATTCCCACGGGGGGCCAGTATGAAAACGTATGCACTCACTAACTGTAAGTCGCTCTGGATAAGAGCGTCTGCTAAATGACTCAAATGTAAAATGTACACCATGGCGCTACCCTAGAGAGTGCTGTTGAGTCTACTGTAGACCTTCATTGCAAAACAGTGTATTTTAATCAATTATTTGGTCACATGTGAATATATTTAGTATAGTTTTACAATTTTTATTTTTATGAAGTTGGAGGAGGATGGTCCACCCCTTCCTCCTCTGAAGAGCCTCCACTGGGTGGCATAGCAGGAAGATTAGAATGCTTTGAACCAAGAGGTTGTGAGTTCAAATCCCAGGTGAGGACATGTTGAATAATAATTACTGTACAAATGAACATGCACAATGTAATCATATACGTCAAAGTGTGTCAAATATATAAGCTGAGAACATTGTATGTTAAAAGCACTGTGTGTAACTAGTTCCACAGGTAAGATGCCCAAATAATAATTTCTAGTTGAACAATCATTTTACGTTGACAGAATTTTTGCCTACATTTTCTCGTGTCGGAGGTAAGTTTGTGCCAAGAAAAAATGTTACGTTCCGGTAACACTTAGACCAAAAAAGTTGAATAAACTAAAAAAAAAGCCAGTGGAACCTGTTACTTAATAATATTTAGTTGAAAGAACTAGATTTGTTTTACAGTGTGACTGACTGACAAAAAAGAAAATGTGAAATTAGCCATACCTAGATCCCACCATCCTTTTGAGAATAGATCAGGAAATAAGGTGATTAAATGAAGATTAAATGAAGTAGTATTATTAAGAATACTTAACATAGGGGCTTAGTTATGGTGTATATATATGCTATGGCTAGCTATAGTAGATTCACATACTCACCCAGAAGCATTGAGCCTAACCACCACTTTGTAGGACACAAGCATACCCTGCACTTCCTTTAGGACTTCCTCCTTCACACTGCAGGCATGAGAGAGGAAGGGAGAGGGGGGGCAGGTCAGAATATTAGAGATCTTCTGCTGCCATCTTGTAAATGTAAACCAGTGTGAGATTTTTGAGCAGCAGAGTGTAGTGATGGTCACTCACATGCTCGAGGAAGCCAGATTGGTGTCCTCATGCTTCAGTTTCCCATCCAGAGCAATACCTCGTCTTTCCTTGTTAGCAGCCAATAGAGGAATGAGGGTGTACACCTTCTTCAGGGTTGTGCCAGAGGGCACTGAATCTCTGTGGGGAAACTTAAGAAGATTACTACGCTGCCTTACTTGTGATTCTACCATCTTCATGTTGCAACTTTTATTTGGACCAATAAAGAAAACAAATCATCAGCAATAAGAGATTGATTGATATATATATACTTACGAGCTCTCTTCTAGGGCAACTGCCCTAACATACTTGTCATTGGAATAAAGGACCACATTGGTCACCTGCTCCACTGTAGACACAAGCAGGCAGAATGAACATATAGGTCACGTCAAGTCACCACACCACCAAACAACAACAACATTCTCACCTGCAACAGTGATGTCTTTCAGTGATCTGCTGGAGCTGTTGTTGATGTTGACACTGACCTTGATTGGTTCACCATGGTAATATGTCTGCAGGGAGAGAGCGAAAAAGACAGAGGTGGGACTATTATTCGAGTCACAAGCAAATCTCAAGTCACAAGGTCCGAGTCTCACGTAGAGTCCCAAGTAGAACGGGTCAAGACACGAGTCAAATTCAAGTCATGCATTCTAAACCAAGTCAAGTTTCAAATCAAGTAAAAATAAAATCTATACATGCAGTGACTTGTTCAACTACAAATCTTTGTCTATTAATTGAGGCTACCAGGCAGTCCATTTCATTGTTTTGCCTACAACATATCTTTATTACCCTATGTAACTGTAAAATATGGACCTTGTCGTAAGGGCATTAAATCAGCAGAATGAAAGGCAGGTTGACGTGCTCAGAGTGTAGATTTATTGATAGGTCTTGGTGATCCAATGGTGAAAGCGCCATATCATACAAAATATACAAGTAGATTTACCAAATATACACGGGCAATAGCCCAAAAGAAATACCCTCTGTATCAGGTTTAACCTGTCCTATCTGAACTGACACTGGTAGAAGGAAATACTGTACAGAAACCAACTTGAATCTGTCTAACAGCAGCTCAAACAGGTAGGCCTACATAATATAAGCACTTGACCCCCAGGTCCATACAATTACCCAATTGCCAGTTACAACCAATAAACTGGTTCTACAATGCAAAAGGCAATTTCCACATCTATTGTTACTTACATTCGTCTTAATCAAATTAATGATTATTAATGATATTTCAACACCATGCATACATGGAACAATCATTTTCTCTTATTCAACGTTCGGACGCCAAAGCGTGGAGCGCAGGTCACGTAGCCTATTTCTATGCGCACTGAGGCGCGCGCGCTCCTATTACTCACAACAAAAATGACACGAGACATAGAGCACATGCAGTGTTCAAAACAACTGGAACTGTGAAAAATACAAGTTCAAATCATGACGTCAGTGATCTTCAGGTCGGAAAGTCAGAGCTCTAGAAAGAGGCCAGAGTTCCCGAGTTGGAATTCCGAGTTGGATGACCGTTCAAATCGATTTTTTTTCCCCAGTCGGAAGCTCGTTTTTTTCCCTAGTTCCCAGTTGTTTTGAACGCGGCAACAGACACGCGGAACTCCGACATAACACGGGAAATATGAACAAAGGACATTGAATGAAATAAACATAACTTCTACCTCATGAGTCTTGCGAACGTTCATATGTACTATAAACATCCCGCCCACTCAGAGCAGGGTAAGAAATGGTTGGCTATAAAATGAAAATGTATCGTTGGCCTATCAACATGAAACAAAAATGCCTACATGTTGCACTAAACGGTACAGGGATAGAATGATGAAACGCTAGCAATTATTGTACTATTAGATTTACCACATAGGGCCTATGCATTTAAACGTGTGAAAGGCAAATATTTCAGCAAAAAAAGCACTCCACTCCTATGGTGTGTCTTCGCCACTGTAATTATTAATTTTAACAACAAATTCCAAATGCAAGCTTCAGAAGTAAATGATCAATTTCAAGCAATTGTTACATACCAAAAGACCAGTATGCCTATGCTAGTAATTGTTGGTAAGCTTACAAAGTAAACAGTAAATATTCTTGATCAGCATTTTTTAAAAATCATTTATTTATTATGGCAATCCTCTATCCCTACAATTTGACCTTTGTGCTGCACCCGATCCTATAGCTGTACAGCAAATCAGCAATCTGTTAGCTAGCTCACTCGACCTGCGTTGATTGACAGTTTGCTGGTCCAATCAGAGTGCCAAGTGTGAGTTTCACTAGCCAATCTGTTGCAGTTTTTTTTTTTCACGGACCTCCTATGTTTTAATGGCTGTAATAGTAAAGACCATAGGAGCTTGTGAGTTTCAAGTTTGGGGAAGTTTACATTTTCTACCTATCTGCGTGCCAGTTATGGTTATTTTTATATGCACAGTTTCATTTCAATAGTGTTTTTGTTTCTCAAAATTGTATAACTTCCATCATCAACTAAGTAAAATACATAGGCCTAAAACAGTAGAAAATATCCGGATAAATTCTGGTTCTTTCAATCACAATCTATCTACTCCGCCTGTCTGCCTCCCTTTCTATCTGTCTTGACTTGAGCTATTGCTAGTGAAGTGCAACATTGTATCAAATCATCACTTGGTCCGGCCCAACACTGTCTCTAGCGAACTTGCAACATTGTATCAACCAGCCTATTCTGGGCCCTCAGTTTACTGCGCCAGTGAGCTCCGAACAGAAAGCTGTTTTTTATTACGTTTCCACTGGATATATGGGATCATCAGATCATGATATTTTGCTCTTTCACACGGCTTGGTGATTATTTGAGGCTGGGAGTGTTGGAAAGATTTTTCAAATACTGAGGAATTATCATTGGCAATGGATGTTAAAAACCAGACTTTGTTGACTTGTGTCAGGCGCAGAAAAACATTTGTGGTGTATGTGGTGAGTTAAAACAATCAGAAAATCAAACTTTGCCAAATGGGCACTTTCCTACGTAATGTATGCAAATTATACTCAAGACACATTATCTAAACACATATTTTAGACGCTTTTCACTGACAGACGCAACTCAATCAGCTAGACCTATTGCCACGCGCACTACCCAAATCGTGGGTTGCCCAAACACACTGGTGATTTGAAACAATACAGAACATGAAAATAAATAAAAACTAATGATCCTCTGTGGCTAAGTCATGCTCCCTGGTGAAGTATTTTGAAGTATTTTATTTAGACAGGAGTAACTATATAATTTTGGCAAAACATACATTTACTTTAGGGCAATGCAGCATCCTAACAGTACACTGTGCACCCGCCAACTTTCCTTTCCAATTCGGAAGAGGCTGAAACCAGAAATCTGTATATAATGACGAGATCCTCATGTCTCCGCCCTAACAATGGAAGTCTTTGTCCCAAAGGCGAGAAGGCAGGCGACAAGCTTAGGTCTGCATATTATTCCCATAAAAACGCATTGGGCTTATACTGGACAGAATTTGGCAAGAGTGACACCTCTCGCTATTATATCACAGAAGAAAGCATCCGAGCTATAAAATATACAGACCACAAATTCCAATTGGCTATACTTAATCTCTTTAACATCATCCTCAGCTCTGGCATCTTCTAATATTTGGAACCAAGGACTGATCACCCCAATCCACAAAAGTGGAGACAAATTTGACCCCAATAACTACCGTGGGATATGCGTCAACAGCAACCTTGGGAAAATCCTCTCGTACATTTCCTCAGTGAAAACAATGTACTGAGCAAATTGGCTTTTTACCAAATTACCGTACGACAGATCACGTATTCACCTTGCACACCCTAATTGACAAACAAACAAAACAAAACAAAGGCAAAGTCTTCTCATGCTTTGTTTATTTTTCAAAAAAGCTTTTGACTCAATTTGGCATGAGGGTCTGCTATACAAATTGATGGAAAGCGGTGTTGAGGGAAGAACATACGACATTATAAAGTCCATGTGCACAAACAAGTGTGCAGTTAAAATTGGCAAAAAAAACATTTCTTTCCACAGGGCCGTGGGGTGAGACAGGGATGCAGCTTGAGCCCCACCCTCTTATATATATATATATATATATATATATATCTCAACAAATTGGTGAGGGCACTAGAACAGTCTGCAGCACCCGGACTCACCCTACTAGAATCTAAAGTCAAATGTCTATTGTTTGCTGATGACCCGGTGCTTCTGTCCCCAACCAAGGAGGGCCTACAGCAGAACCTATATCTTCAGCACAGATTCTGTCAGACCTGGGCCCTGATCGTAAATCTCATTAAGACAAAATTAATGGTGTTCCAAAAAAGGTCCAGTTGTCAGGACCACAAATAGAAATTCCATCTAGCCACCGTTGCCCTAGAGCACACAAAACTACACATACCTCGGCCTAAACATCAACGCCACAGGCAACTTCCACAAAGCTGTGAACGATCTGAGAGAAAAGGCAAGAAGGGCCTTCTACGCCATCAAAAGGAACATAACATTTGACATCCCAATTAGGATCTGGCAAAAAATACTTGAATCAGTTTAAGAACCCATTATCTTTATGGTTGTGAGGTCTGGGGTCCGCTCACCAACCAAGTACTCACAAAATGGGACAAACACCAAATTGAGACTCTGCATGCAGAATTCTGCAAAAACATCCTCCGTGAACAACGTAAAACACCAAATAATACATGCAGAGCAGAATTAGGCTGATACCTGGTAATTATCAAAATCCAGAAAAGAGCTGTTAAATTCTACAAACACCTTTAAAAGGAAGCGATTCCCAAACCTTCCATAACAAAGCCATCCCCTAAATACCACAGTGTGAAATACCACAGTGTGCCATAACAGCAGCAAGATTTGTGACCTGTTGCCACAAGAAAAGGGCAACCAGTGAAGAACAAACACCATTGTAAATACAACCCATATTTATGTTTCTTTATTTTCCCTTTTGCACTTTAACTATTTGCACATCGTTATAACACTATACAGTGCATTCAAAGTATTCAGACCCCTTGACATTTTCCACATTTTGTTACGTTACAGCCTTATTCTAAAATGGATTAAATAGTTTTTTTCCCCCTCATCAATCTACACATAATACCCCAAAATGACAAAGCAAAAACGGGTTTTTAGAAATATTTGCAAAAAAAACTAACGGAAATGTTACATTTACATAAGTATTCAGACCCTTTACTCAGTACTTTGTTGAAGCACCTTTGGCAGCAATTACAGCCTCGAGTCTTCTTGGGTATGACGCTACAAGCTTGGCACACCTGTATTTGGGGAGTTTCTCTCATTCTTCTCTGCAAATCCTCTCAAGCTCTGTCAGGTTGGATGGGGAGCGTCGCTGCACAGCTATTTGCAGGTCTCTCCAGAGATGTTCAATCGGGTTCAAGTCCGGGCTCTGGCTGGGCCACTCAAGGACATTCAAAGACTTGTCCCGAAGCTACTCCTGCATTGTCTTGGCTGTGTGCTTAGGGTCGTTGTCCTGTTGGAAGGTGAACCTTCGCCCCAGCCTGAAGTCCTGAGCGCTCAAGGATCTCTCTGTACTTTGCTCTGTTCATCTTTCCCTCTATCCTGACTAGTCTCCCAGTCCCTGCTGCTGAAAAACATCCCCACAGCATGATGCTGCCACCACCATGTTTCACCGTAGGTATGGTGCCAGGTTTCCTCCAGACATGATGCTTGGCATTCAGGCCAAAGAGTTCAATCTTGGTTTCATCAGACCAGAGAATCTTGTTTCTGATGGTTTGATTCCTTTAGGTGTCTTTTGGCAATCTCCAAGCAGGCTGACATGTGCCTTTTACTGAGTGGCTTCCGTCTGGCCACTCTACCGTAAAGGCCGGATTGGTGGAGTGCTGCAGAGATGGTTGTCCTTCTGGAAGGTTCTCCCATCTCCACAAAGGAACTCTGGAGCTCTGTCAGAGTGACCATCAGATTCTTGGTCACCTCCCTGACCAAGGCCCTTCTCCCCCGATTGGTCAGTTTGGCCGGGCAGCCAGATCTAGGAAGAGTCTGTGGTTCCAAACTTCTTCCATTTAATAATGATGGAGGTCACTGTGTTCTTGGGGACCTTCAATGCTGCAGAAATGTTTTGTAACCTTCCCCAGATATGTGCCTCGACACAATCCTGTCTCGGAGCTCTACGGACAATTTTTTCAACCTCATGGCTTGGTTTTTGCTCTGACATGCACTGTCAAATGTGTGACCTTATATAGACCGGTGTGTGCCTTTCCTAATCATGTCCAATCAATTGAATTTTCCTCAGGGGGACTCCAATCAAGTGTGCAGTTTTTGTGACTGCACATGAAGAAACTTTCAAAGTTCTTGAAATGTTCTGTATTGACTGACCTTCATGTCTTAAAGTAATGATGGACTGTCGTTTCTCTTTGCTTATTTGAGCTGTTCTTGTCATGATATGGACTTGTTTTTTTACCAAATAGGGCTATCTTCGGTATACCCCCCCCCCCCCCCCCCCCTACCTTGTCACAACACAACTGATTGGCTCAAACGCATTAAGAAGGAAAGAAATTCCACAAATTAACTTTTAAGAAGGCACACCTGTTAATTGAAATGCATTCCAGGTGACTACCTCATGAAGCTGGTTGAGAGAATGCCAAGAGTGTGCAAAGATTTTATCAAGGCAAAAGGTGGCTATTTGAAGAATCTCAAATATAAAATATATTTTGATTTGTTTAACACTTTTTTGGTTACTACATGATTACATGTGTTATTTCATAGTTTTGAGGTCTTTACTATTATTCAACAATGTAAAAAATTGTAAGAATAAAGAAAAACCCTCGAATTAGTAGGTGTCCCAACTTTTGACTGGTAATGTATGTGTGTGTGTGTGTGTGTGTGTGTGTGTATATATATATATATATATATATATATATATATATATATATATATATATATATATATATATTAAAATGAATCAATACAGGAATGAGATCTGTATGTTAAAATATTAACGTTTTACATTTTAGGCATTTAGCAGATGCTTTTATCCAGAGCGACTTACAGTTAGTCCATTCATCTTAAGCTCGCTAGGTGTGACAACCACAGATCACAGTCAAATATACAGGATATTATCATTCCATTCCAGCTAAACCAGGGGTGGACAATAATTTCGGCTCAAGGGCCACATTGGGATTTCAAAATTCATCGGAGGCCCGCACAGATGTTTTTCAGGACCGATTTGATAATCAAAAGCAATTTGCGGGCCAGAAAAAGGTCAGTTATTTGAAAACATATAGGTCCATTATCATTTCTACATTCTTTTTATCTAGTTTTTGACGTTCAAGCCCCCCCCCCCCCCCCCAAAAAAAAATAAAACAATTGGGTATGTTGACCACCCCTTAGCTAAGTTTAACAATGGCTATAGCGTTTTGCAACAAAACCCATTTTCAAATCAACAAAAAAATGTCACATGCGCCAGAAACAACCTTACCGTGAAATGCTTACTTACAAGCACTTAACCAACAATGCATTTTTAAGAAAAATAAGAGTTAAGAAAATATTTACTAAATAAATGAAAGTAAAAAGAAAGTAACACAATAGAATAACATTAACGTGGCTATATACAGGGGGTACCGGTACCGAGTCAATGTGCGGCGTTAGTCGAGGTAATTTAGGTAATATGTACATGATTTCATTAAAAATCAGAGAAAGTAATATTTTAAACTCACATGTAGGTACCTATAAGCAATCATTTCTGATGAAAAAACAAGTGTGAAAGTTGGTGGATATAAAACTTTGGAACTAAACACTTCATTTTAAACCTTGCAGGGCTGCTGTCACTCTGCTATGTTCAAAGGTTTGTCTCCTACAATTCTAGCCCATGGTGAGGAACTGAAGCTGACTCACTGGTTTCTCTGAAGGACAACTCACCTCTTTCTCCAGGCTGACCTGCATGTGCAGAGGTTTGTCCGACATGAGGAACTCACAGGTGGTCTCTGAGGACGGGACGGTCTTACTATCCTCCGGAGCGTACTGGATCTTACGGATGGCCAGACGCACGGAGCTCCTGTGGGAGACCGAGAGCAACGGTCAGTAACCTGGTGGCTTGATGAAGAACTGTCATGCAGGACAACACTTGATTCTGAAATGCAATGACTTGGACCTGTAGTGCAGTAAACCAGAACACACACATATTCAGAGCAACTAAAGACAATATAGTATATGAATTGGGACTGGTGGAACTACAGTACCAGTCAAAAGTTTGGACACATCTACTCATTCCAGGGTTTTTCTTTATTTTTACTATTTTCTACATTGTAGAATAATAGTGAAGACTTCAAAACTATGAAATAACACATATGTAATCATGTAGTAACCAAAAAAGTATTAAACAAATCAAAATATATGTTATATTTGAGATTCTTCAAATAGCCACCCTTTGCCATCAAGCTCTATAATGAAACTGGCTCTCATGAGGATCACCACAGGAATGGAAGACCCAGAGATACCTCTGCTGCAGATGATAACTTCATTAGAGTTACCAGCCTCAGAAATTGCAGCCCAAATAAATGCTTCAGAGTTCAAGTAACAGACGTATCTCAACATCAACTGTTAAGAAGGGACTGTGTGAATCAGGCCTTCATGATCGAATTGCTGCAAAGAAACCACTACTAAAGGACACCAATAAAAAGAAGAGACCTGCTTGGGCCAAGAAACACGAGCAATGGACATTAGACCGGTGGAAATTTGTCCTTTGGTCTGGACCCCAAAATTGAGATTTTTGGTTCCAACCGCCATGGCTTTGTGAGACCCGGTGTGGGTGAACGGATGATCTCCGCATGTGTATTTCCTACTGTAAAGCATGGAGTGTGTCAACCTTTGACTGGTAGTGTACATTACACTTCAACAGCATCCAGAAGTGGACTGTACTTTGGTTGGTGTCTCTAGTTGTTTGTGAGTCTGAATTTACCGCTTTTCGATTTTCTCGTCTTGGTTCTCAGCACAGAAAGCCTTTACTTCGAACTCGACTGCGCAGCGCTGTGAACAGAGAGGTTGAGAATTTAGAATACCGTACTGCCAACATGAATTCTGTTACAAAGGCTGCTGCTGGCTGTGTTACTCACCTTGCCCACATCGGATGGAGCCGGCTGCAGACACACAGAGCACGGCAGGTTGTCTGGGAACTGAAAGACACAGAACACATCAGCCTGTCAACTTCGTGTCACACCCACTACTGTCAGTCTGTTAGTGTCATATCCACTACTTCAATGTACTATCTTAATTTGATAACTCTGCTAGAGCAGAGAATTTTCCTGCACAGCAGGACATGCAAATTGTAGTGTATTAGAGGTTTAGAAAGCTTCTAAAGCTTGTAATTTCCACTTTTAAATGTCATACTTGATTTATCCTAACAAAAATTTCACTTAATTATAATCCACATAATAATTCACATTTCCTGTTGCTGCAGGATTATTTTCCTGCTGTGAGAAACTGGTCAAATTAAGATAGTACATGCCGTATGTACAATTGTTAGTCTGTTACAATGTTTCATCCACTACTTGCTACAGTTTATTGTAATCTTCCTTATTAGAATTTTTTCCTGAGCATGTGACCTGACCAGGAAAAACTCTAGAGCTGTGTTCAAATACCCATACTAACATACTGTATGCTTAATGAGTACATACTACATACTATTAGTTAATTTTAGTATACTGTAAACGAACGATATCATTTCAGTTGAGCATACTAGCGCTTCGCCTGTCTACCGGAAGTTGATGCTGTTGCTATGCAACCTCTTGCTAGCTTGTTAGCATAACAATTTACTAGCTAGACTTCGGGTGTGTTCGTACATTCAATCTGGAGTGCCAGAGTGTGCTCTGGGCGTTCGTAAATTCAGAGCGTGACGCTCTGGCCTAGGAGTTGGGTTGATCCGAGTGTTTTGACCTCTCAACGGCAGTCAAGCACCCAAGCTAAATGGCTAACTTGCTAGCTACTTCCAGACACAAATGAGAGAACACCTCACTCTGACCAGTTTTCATGTTATCTGGAGCGTTAGTGACTGTAACTGTGCTGCTGGCAACAATTTAATTACGCTTTTTTGCCGACGTTTACTGACACCGGCCACATTCAACAGGTGTTGAGCTTCCGTAAATTCATCAGTTATTCTACGCTCTGGCACAGTCAGACGAGAGTGCTCTGAAATCGGAGTAGATAGCCGGAGCGAATTTACGAACACACCCGAATGAATGCTTGTATACTTCGTATTTTGGCGAATGTAGTACAACATCCGGGAACTTTTGGCATACTAACTATATCTGTACTATGACTAATAAGCATACTACATACTCAATTTACATCACAAGTAGTGCGGTTAGTATGAGTATTCGAACACAGTTTAGGTCTTTCCTGGTCAGGTCATGTGGTCAGCAAAAACTGCTGGCCGTTACGGAATCCATTCAGCTTACTGATGCTGAATGTAGTAGAGGTAAAATGCACATTTATTTCTGGCATCATGTGTACTACTAGCGGCGTCATGCACCTCAAAAATCTGAGGGGGCACAAATACGTGAGGATGGCTGCGGGGTGGTCTCTAGGGGTCAAGGCCCCCTTTTCGTAAATTGGAGAATTTAGCATTTTTCAAACACCTGAAACAGATTTTTCCTGCAATCTAGAGCCATAATCATTATGCGTAATTCTATGTAAAAGAAAAAAAAAGAAAAAAAACATAATAAGCATACCTCTTGAGCTGTCTGTATCATCCTGACTGGCGGTAAACATTTTTTTTACAAAAAAACTAAACATGCTCTAATCTGGGTAAAATATTGAAAGGAATGTGAGTCTTATTCAGTACATTTAGTTATTGCTTGCTTTTCTAAAGTCTACCAAACTTGACAGCAGGCATGCCAGCTAGTTAGACAAGCTAGCTACTCTAACTTGATTGATAGCTTGAAATGGTTTCTTGGTAGCTAGTTACAGTGGGGGAAAAAAGTATTTAGTCAGCCACCAATTGTGCAAGTTCTCCCACTTAAAAAGATGAGAGAGACCTGTAATTTTCATCATAGGTACACGTCAACTATGACAGACAAAATGAGGAAACAAAATCCAGAAAATCACATTGTAGGATTTTTAATGAATTTATTTGCAAATTATGGTGGAAAATAAGTATTTGGTCAATAACAAAAGTTTCTCAATACTTTGTTATATACCCTTTGTTGGCAATGACACAGGTCAAACGTTTTCTGTAAGTCTTCACAAGGTTTTCACACACTGTTGCTGGTATTTTGGCCCATTCCTCCATGCAGATTTCCTCTAGAGCAGTGATGTTTTGGGGCTGTCGCTGGGCAACACGGACATTCAACTCCCTCCAAAGATTTTCTATGGGGTTGAGATCTGGAGACTGGCTAGGCCACTCCAGGACCTTGAAATGCTTCTTACGAAGCCACTCCTTCGTTGCCCGGGCGGTGTGTTTGGGATCATTGTCATGCTGAAAGACCCAGCCACGTTTCATCTTCAATGCCCTTGCTGATGGAAGGAGGTTTTCACTCAAAATCTCACGATACATGGCCCCATTCACACATTTATGAAATTGCTTATCCCAGTTACTAATAAGCATGCACCCATTAAGAAAACAACTGTAAAAACTATTAAATCCCCGTGGACTGATGAGGAATTGAAAAATTGTATGGTTGAGAGGGATGAGGCAAAAGTAATGGCAAATAAGTTTGCCTGCACAACCGATTGGCAAACGTTCTGCAAATTGAGAAATCATGTGACTAAACTGAATAGAAAAGAGGAAACTACACTATGAAACAAAGATAAATGACATAAAGAATGATAGTAAAAACCTTTGGCGCACCTTCAATGAAATTTTGGGAAAAAAGGCAAACTCAGCTCCATCATTCATTGAATCAGATGGCTCATTCATCACAAAACCGACTGATATTGCCAACTACTTTAATGTTTTTTTTCATTGGCAAGATTAGCAAACTTAGGCATGACATGCCAGCAACAAACGCTGACACTACACATCCAAGTATATCTGACCAAATTATGAAAGACAAGAATTGTACTTTTGAATTCCATAAAGGGAGAGTGGAAGAGGTGAATTTTTTTTCGTTATCTATCAACAATGACAAGCCACCGGGGTTTGACAACTTACAGTGGGGAAAAAAAGTATTTAGTCAGCCACCAATTGTGCAAGTTCTCCCACTTAAAAAGATGAGAGAGGCCTGTAATTTTCATCATAGGTACACGTCAACTATGACAGACAAAATGAGATTTTTTTTCTCCAAAAATCACATTGTAGGATTTTTTATGAATTTATTTGCAAATTATGGTGGAAAATAAGTATCTGGTCAATAACAAAAGTTTCTCAATACTTTGTTATATACCCTTTGTTGGCAATGACACAGGTCAAACGTTTTCTGTAAGTCTTCACAAGGTTTTCACACACTGTTGCTGGTATTTTGGCCCATTCCTCCATGCAGATCTCCTCTAGAGCAGTGATGTTTTGGGGCTGTCGCTGGGCAACATGGACTTTCAACTCCCTCCAAATATTTTCTATGGGGTTGAGATCTGGAGACTGGCTAGGCCACTCCAGGACCTTGAAATGCTTCTTACGAAGCCACTCCTTCGTTGCCCGGGCGGTGTGCTTGGGATCATTGTCATGCTGAAAGAACCAGCCACGTTTCATCTTCAATGCCCTTGCTGATGGAAGGAGGTTTTCACTCAAAATCTCACGATACATGGCCCCATTCATTCTTTCCTTTACACAGATCAGTCGTCCTGGTCCCTTTGCAGAAAAACAGCCCCAAAGCATGATGTTTCCACCCCCATGCTTCACAGTAGGTATGGTGTTCTTTGGATGCAACTCAGCATTCTTTGTCCTCCAAACACGACGAGTTGAGTTTTTACCAAAAAGTTATATTTTGGTTTCATCTGACCGTATGACATTCTCCCAATCCTCTTCTGGATCATCCAAATGCACTCTAGCAAACTTCAGACGGGCCTGGACATGTACTGGCTTAAGCAGGGGGACACGTCTGGCACTGCAGGATTTGAGTCCCTGGCGGCGTAGTGTGTTACTGATGGTAGGCTTTGTTACTTTGGTCCCAGCTCTCTGCAGGTCATTCACTAGGTCCCCCCGTGTGGTTCTGGGATTTTTGCTCACCGTTCTTGTGATCATTTTGACCCCACGGGGTGAGATCTTGCGTGGAGCCCCAGATCGAGGGAGATTATCAGTGGACTTGTATGTCTTCCATTTCCTAATAATTGCTCCCACAGTTGATTTCTTCAAACCAAGCTGCTTACCTATTGCAGATTCAGTCTTCCCAGCCTGGTGCAGGTCTACAATTTTGTTTCTGGTGTCCTTTGACAGCTCTTTGGTCTTGGCCATAGTGGAGTTTGGAGTGTGACTGTTTGAGGTTGTGGACAGGTGTCTTTTATACTGATAACAAGTTCAAACAGGTGCCATTAATACAGGTAACGAGTGGAGGACAGAGGAGCCTCTTAAAGAAGTTGTTACAGGTCTGTGAGAGCCAGAAATCTTGCTTGTTTGTAGGTGACCAAATACTTATTTTCCACCATAATTTGCAAATAAATTCATTAAAAATCCTACAATGTGATTTTCTGGGATTCTTTTTCTCAATTTGTCTGTCATAGTTGACGTGTACCTATGATGAAAATTACAGGCCTCTCTCATCTTTTTAAGTGGGAGAACTTGCACAATTGGTGGCTGACTAAATACTTTTTTTCCCCACTGTATATATAAAATTACTGAGGATAATAGCGGACTATATTGCCACTCCTATTTGCCATATCTTCAATTTAAGCCTACTAGAAAGTGTGTGCCCTCAGGCCTGGAGGGAATCAAAAGTCATTCCGCTAGCTAAGAATAGTAAAGCACCTTTTACTGGCTCAAATAGCCGACCAATCAGCCTGTTACCAACCCTTAGTAAAGTTTTGGGGAAAATGGTGTTTGACCAGATACAATGCTATTTTACAGTAAACAAATTGACAACTGACTTTCAGCACGCTTATAAGGAAGGACATTCAACAAGCACAGCACTTACACAAATGACTGATGATTGGCTGAGAGAAATTGATGATAAAAAGATTGTGGGGGCTGTTTTGTCAGACTTCCGTGCGGCTTTTGACATTATCGATCATAGTCTGCTGCTGGAAAAACGTATGTGTTATGTCTTTACACCCCCTGAAGCCTCTCCAACATAATCCAGGTAAAATCATGAATTTCCCAGGGCAGCTGTCTAGGCCCCTTACTTTTTTCAATCTTTAATAACGACATGCAACTGGCCTTGAGTAAAGCCAGTGTGTCG